TGTTTCATACACTTGCCAAAAGCCTATCAAATTTTGAGCAAAATGCAAAATAAATCTCCTCTACAAGTTAAATCAGTCCCTTCTGTGTGTTCCAGGCTGCCCTCTTCTCTTGGCAACAAGGCTCAGGACTTGGGTCCTATTTCTCTTGCCCTTGATCTGATACTTCTCTCTGTGTGTATTCATAAATCCATTCCCTCCCCAGGCTGATGTCCTGCCTTATTGGCTATAATTTGGCCTGCTCTTCTCGTAGCCATTCTTCTGTTATCCCTCAATTCATTGGACCTGCTTCACACATCCCCAGAAAACCACTCTTCCTGCTATTCATTTGCCTCCTGTGCTGATCTGCCTCTCCCAATACGTAACCTATTGAGAGCATCATGCTCATCCTCCCTGTCTTCCGAAATCTTTCTCTAATGATTCAGGTAAGTGCCCTCTTTCCCTTTTCTAACCCTCAATGTCAATATGTTGCGTAACATTTTTGTGCCTCAGTTTCTGTGTCAGTAAAATAGAAACACAGTACTTATTTAGGAAGATCTGGAGGAGAATTAAACCTGATAATCCACAGAAAGAGCTTAGAATGATATCTGGCCATAGAAGCACTTAATAAATGAATGAAAGCATGAATGAAATAAGTGAAACTAGAGCCCCTCCTGGCTAGGGAGTGGAGAAGGGGAAACCCTAACTTCTCGGCTACCTCCCTTCCCCTCCCTACATGCTCCTAAGGTATAGAATTCCTGGGGCTTCATCGTCACAATTTGAAAACCACAAGTCTTTTTCAGACATGCTGGCTACTTTGTCATATTCAAATTCTTCTTTTATTACTTACTCTCTTTTATTTCTCTCCCAAAATATTGTTGTTTCTAATTGACAAGGAATAACCTTCTGAATGATTAAAACACCAGGCATCTTGAATGAGTAAATGAGTCTACCACATGTTAACATTTTTTACAAGTTTGACTAAAAGACCTGATTGACCACATAAGAGACCATTCCCCACTGTTGGGAACCTACTCCACAAGATGTGGCTACAGCTGCTGTCTGCTGATTGACATTGTGAGGGTTGCCTCTTTGGATCTGATTCCTTTGCTCAAACCTGTCACCATTTTTGTCTGCTGTGGACTGAGACATATTGCAGAAAAGATGTTTCCAAAGAGCTATACTACCCTTTAGCCCAGATTTGTCACCCCTCCACTTTGGCTGCCCATTTAGAGCTTCTGGAATTCAGCTCCTTGAGATGTTAGGGGAATGAACATCACCTTTCCTCTTTGAGGTCTGGATATCTTTTAAAAGTGCTTCTCCCTGGCCTCCTGCCAGTAGGTGGATGATTATCTCCAAAAGGAGTCTTACGGAGTCACCGCTTGTGTCACTGCACTGGGTCTAGGCCTTAGTCTCAGGGTCCACATGGCAGCTTTGAAAGAATAGAAAAGGGTGCCCCGTCTGGTTTGCCGCAGCCGTGTAGGTGTGTGCCTTAGAAAATGGAGTGTGGTCTAGCTTTCAGCAGGGCACAGGTTGAACAACTGCACATGGCATCCCCGCCTGTTCCATTCAAGTATGCAAATGGCTCTTCTAATTCCCTTTCCTCAATGGTGAGTAGGACTTTGATTTTGCAAGATGGGCTTCTCTTGGTGAAGTGGATTTCTCTAAATTCTTCCAAATCCAGGTCAAAAATCACCTAATAATAAATCCTTTTCTCATTTGAGTTTCATTAAAAACTGCATTTTCTTCCAAAAGGTGTAATTCTGGCCACTGTATCAATGGTTCTTTAGCTGAAAACATGGACAAAGATCAAGGCCTTACTTGCTACACACTTGGGGCATTCCTAATCCTCAGAGTACTGAAGAGTCACTGATCCAGACTAAATATGAACCACTTTAAAAATATTTCCTTCTGACCCACTGAAATGCACAGGGTGGTAAAATCTCTAAGGAATTATCTCCTTTGTCTTTTAAAAAACGATGTGAGGGAGAGAGAGAGGGAAAGAAAGGGAGAGAGAGAGAGAGAGAGAAAGAAAAAAACAACCTGGGAAAGAAAAGTAAAAGATGGGGTCCAGAGGGGCAGCTGGGGCCTTGGGGGAAAATAGAATCTTTGAATGTATTCCTGCCAGAGACAAAAGCACAGGCTCATTTAAAAAACAAAGGAGGGCAGCTTTATTCTAAAGCCTGCTGTGCACCAAAAATAGGCACTTAGCTTCAGTTCTCCACACAGATTCAGTTCTTCACATTTCGGAGGAAGCAACTTACCAGAGTGGAGACAATTCAGTTAGTGCATTTGCCTCGCTTGTATCCTGCCCACCTTAACTATCGCCCTCCCAAATAATTCCTCTTAGTAACACATTGGGAACCTTTAGCTCCCTGGTACTGGCAGTTTTAATGTGTCCATTGCCAGCAATGAATTTTGTGCCAAGAAAACCCGACTCCTGGCGTGGAAGGATTAAACAGTCCTCGGGTGCCATCTGTGCAGTGAAGTGAAAGAGTGACTTTGTGCACCCAGTGTGCGTGTGTTGCCATTGGCAGGAGGAAGTGACTTCTATTTACATGACTACCTCATGCAGCGCACACCTAAGGGGGGAGACGGAAATGGCCACAGCAGTGAGGGGTAGAGCTGGAGAAGAGGGGGATCTATGTGGGGACAAGGAGCCTATAGGAAAGGCTGGAAAATTATGCAGGTTGAAATGGCAGACTAAAACTAATCATCCTATCTCATTATATAGGGAAGGCTGGTCGAAGAGGAAATACCCCATTGGCTGATGTTCTTTGAGGAATTAGGGTAGGTGCCATGAACTTCCTTAGATGGCAGGGTTTGGGTTTGTTCCAGGCTCAACTTTTTAGAATATAATTTTGTAAATGAACACTTTGGAGTTATCATCCACTGTGTTCAAGCGAGGGATTGGGACCCTAGGCAGTTACATCTCTGATGTTTTAGGAACTTTCAGTACTTTGGGATATCTGAGAAAGCTCTTTGGCAATCAAATTTAAGTATTCTGGTTGGGTAGTTAACAAGAAAATTTGAACTGGGAAATGAAGGCAGTGATGGAGAAATTCTTGTATAACAATGTTTCCCTTCAAAAAGCTTTTAAGTTAAATCAGGAAAGGTTTGGGAGTTTATACTTCTTAAAAGAGAAGGCAAAGAATACAACATTGAATAGCTTGTACGCCTTGAATAGCTAACTGTACTGAAGAGGGGAAAATTCAGCACAAGATAACTATCAGTTCAAGGTAGAATAAAATGAGGATTCAGAGATATACAAGGAAAATATGGGATTCAAAAGGGGAAGCAGCTCCACTGAGAGGACTGTGTAAGTTTCTGAATGGGTGGAATTGGAGGGGAATTAACACTCTAGGTGAAAGGAGAAGAGGGCAAAGGCATAAAAGGGAAAGCCACAGAAACATTCAGAGAACAGCAAGCATTCCAGACAAAGTAGGCTACTGTAGGAAGGTTGCTGAACACCTGGGTGAAGAGTGAGGACTGGGCTTAGTTGAGTACACAAGAAGGAACCATGAACATGTTGTAGGTGGGAGTTAATCTCCCTGCTCTGTTGCACTCTGTTGCGCAGTATAAGAAGATAAGATAAGAGGAGAAAAATTGGGTTATTGTGATAAAAAAACATAGGTTATGTGACAATAGCAATGTGGTTATGAAAAAGGAAATTAGTGTCTAAAGCAGCTTATGGGAGATGGAGGAGAAAGAATGGGAAGAATTGAGCCCTAACTATCACCCTTAGCAGAAATGGGGACAATCTAATTATGGGACTGTTTTGTAGAGGTAGATGATTTGTGCATCTCACTTTGCAGATTGTTACTTTTCTATCTTGACTGATAGACATGAAAACAGTCATACAGACACTAACACAAAAGCATTGCGATCACAGCTCCCTGCACCCACACCCACACACACCTTACTCATTAAGCTGCAAGTAATTGGTAAAACTAAATTATCTATACTTATCTTGCAAAACTAGAAGTTTATTGTGTTTTGATCAGATGACTTCAGCATTCATAGTAATAGTGATGACATCTTACAAAAACACACAGATATTGCTCAGAGCAATGTATTAATGTGAAGTCATGCCACAGATGAGAAGAAATTGTGTTCTTAAATTATTCTTATTGTTTTTCTTCCTCTTTAATTCACCATCTTGGGAAAAATTGTGAACATTCTTTAGAAAATGTAAACATCAGAAATGATTTACCTTGTCTGCTGTAATTTTCAGGGCTTTTTAAACATTTTTTCCAACTAACATGACAAACAATCAGCAAAGTTTTGGAAGGATCAAAGTACCAGAAGGGCCCCTAATACTTACGCTAGCACTTCCAGCTGCATTAATGTGGCACCAGAGACAATGCTCTGGCTTTGCCGTGGCATCCACACTAGCACATGGGGGCTGTCAATGATAGTTGCACCCATACCATATTTTAAATGCTATAGCCCATCTGTAGAGCAACCTGCCCACTGGTTCTCCCATCAGGCAACCAGCCTGTTGGATGCTATTCAGTGATTTAGGTTTAGGGCTTTTTAAGGGTACTGCCCAACTGTACCTACCTCTCACCTGCTTTATTCAAATCTTGTGTGAAAAAAACTGTACGTAATTGGCTATGAGTAAGAAAATTATCCTCTCATATATACATCTTATGATAATACTGTAAGTAATTTCAATATATAGCTAAAGGTTTAGAGAGTCTTCTGGGCTCTAAAGGAATATGTTGAATTTCTAATAGGTTTTCAAAACTGAAATTTTTATAATTAAAGTAATTATCTGATGTTGCTTTGTATTTCTAAATGAATGCATATTGTGACCTATATAGCATACCATAAAGACTGTAATTATGCAGAATATAGCAGGGGAAGCTATTGGAGTATCTCTAAACCACCTGTGTTATTTCTTTTTAACAAGAATTTTGTTGGAAATAAAAATATATTTTTTCTTGAATAGACACACTTAAGTAGATTCTTAAACCACTTATAAATAGGCTATAAAATAGGTATAGGTCCTCATCTCTTACCCTGTAATGATCAAGGTTGTCTTCTGGAGTTGGGAGACCCATGTAACGTTCTGTGTACACTGAGTCTGTGAAAGAAAAAAAAAGAAAAAAGTTTAATTCATACAATAACAACTTTTCTTTCTTTTAATGGGCCACTTCAGTGTTTTCATATGTCTTAACTTGTGTATAGGAATATAGAGTTACTTTCGAAGTATCTCTATGTGGTTATGAAAAAAGAAAAGGGTGTTTAAAGCAGCTTATTGAGGTAATTTTTTACTTGGCTTGCTAATATAGCCAGAGATGCTCATTCAAAGTTCCCTGCATACCATTCCACACTCAGTCCTAACCCATTCTCAATTTCCCCTTATGATGGGGCAAAGGGAGATCAAACCAGATGATCTAAAATCCAATCAATAAACCACCTACAGAAAGATCAAATGTAAAGTGCTCAGGGGTAAGGGATCTTTACATTATTATATGACCCTGTAAAAAATTTTTAGTTAGTAAGTCACTTAATGTCTCAATTGTGTTAAAATATTTTGGTTATATTACAAGTATATGCCCTGATTTATGATACTCTATTTTCTTTTGGAGGCCCCTAAGAATGTTCAATTACTAGTTGCTTATTTAGATTATATTTTATTTGAGGGGTCAGGCTATGATTCATTATAATAAAAAGAAATAATTCAGTTATTTATTTGCTGTATATTCCCATATTGGCTCAGCTGCTCTGTCATAATGCAATTTTAACTTTGTTTTCTCTCATTTTGTGGTAAAGCCTCAATTTTTGTGGTATAACAGTTGAGCATTGTGAAACAGATTACATTAATATCTGTCTGCTGAAATGACATAAGCTCTTTTATCTATAAATATGGTTGAAAAACAGGTTGCATAATTGGTTTGGTTATTTTGGATCGTTAAACATATTTTGCCTGATTTAAAAAAATTAAATGATACATTATATATATTTGGCCTAAAATATCAGAAAGAAAATTTATTGTGGCCAAATTGCAATAAAACTTTTAAAATCTGATATAACTGCTTTGAAAACTGCCTCCTTAAGTGACCAGATTACAGTTAAAAAGTCTAAGAATTTTATCTTACTATTGTGCTATACAGGCTAATGGCTTGAATTTTGCTATAATTTTACAAGTATTTCAAAACTGATTTTATTAATTTAAAAATGGATATATTATCTAAATTCAACATTCTGACACTTTTTGAATGACTGGTATTGTAGATTAGAAGCTGCACTAATGAGTGTTAGTTGCTCCATATGTATACTTTAAGCCATTTCTATGAAAATCAAAATGTTTTCCTCCAAAATTTCCTCCAGTGATATTTTATCATTTTCATTAATATGAATGCTGACTATACATAATTTCATATACATAAAGGACACTAATATAAAAATAGGATATTTTAAATGACAATTTAAATGAGAACTTATATTTTAAATGACAACTTAAATTGTCATTTAAAATATAAGTTCTTTATAAAATGCTCATATCTTTTTTAACTTTAGCATTGAAATATTAATAACTTAGGTAGTATGTTAGATGAGGAAAAAATGGCCTTTAAGAGCAAAACACATTTTCCCCAAATAGTTGCAGACTTGAATTCTGCTTGTCATAAAACACAATACTCCTTTCTTATTTATGCTAACCAGGTTTATGTGTATAAGAAGATCTGAAATTTTAAAAATAGCATTTAAAAAATATTATGTATAACTGCATAATGCACTTGTAAACTTTTTAAAAAATATGCTTTCAAACACCACTTACATATTTCTTTTGTCCTATCTTTGGGTAAAATTGTTTAAATTTACAGGTAGAACTCTATAAAATTCCTATGTATTAGTTTGGTCTATATACATTAAATGAAGTTTTCTTCTCATGTAGTTTTTAACTTACAAAGATTTACTCCTTTATTTTATTGACCACCAGAGGTCTCCAAAAACAAGCCATCCAACAGAACAATTAATATCAAGCAGAGAAATATTATGAAAACAAATTCATTGTGTATAGATCAAATCATAACTATGCTCTCCAATTTTCTTAACAGCAAGATAGAAATGTCTTTTTACATTGGTTTATCTTGACTGGGAGAGACTTTAAAAGAGTCTTTTCCTCTGGGTACTACCATATTTCTGGATATAAAATATTTAGTGAGCTATTCATCATCAACCATTCTTTTCTTACACTAGACAGAAGACTTGAGATGGGATCAGAAGAGGTGCAGGAAAATCATCCATCTTCTTCCTTACCACCTCCAACTCTTCCTTCCTCCCTCATCTTTCATTGCTTACTCCCTCCCCTTTGAGAATTGTAGTCTTAAAAATGTACGATGTCTTGTAGAATAATATTCTCTCAATAACAAACAGCATATTCTAGAGTAGCTTTCACCTATTAAGAGATAGTAAAAAAAAAAAAAAAAACCCAATGGGTATTTCCACTGTTCCTCCTCTCCTCTTCTCATCCAAAGCCCTAATCTTATAACTGACATTTAATTGAAGATAAAGAGATACGCACTTCTCTCACTCTGCTAGTATGTGAAACCCAAGAATCAAATTAGAGTAAAGATAAGGAATGATTTATCTGTAGAAATGTAGCGTTGGGGCTGTTTTGAAATTTGGAAAACAAAATTTGTTGATAAGAAACCAAATGTGTAATAAAATATACCACCCAGCCTTGCACAATAGCAGAATAAATGAGATCATCTTATTATAGGTATCCAAAAAGAACCTCTAAGATGAATCAGCCTATTATTCGCTGTAAAAACACTGGAACTCAGAAAGGAATGGCTTTGTTACTGGCATTTTAAGGTCAACACTCCGTATCTCTTTGTACCTGACAGCAATTACATACCATAGTACTCCCACCGGGATACAGGCGCCACGGCTATTCCACACTTGAACACGCCGCTTCCCGATCCCAGGACCATTGAGGTTACGTACCCTCCATATGACTAAGGAATGGAAACAGTTATTTTTATGGAGGTAAAAGAATAAGGACATATGGTAAGCGAGTCGCAGTTTCCACATTTCTCACATCTTTATATACTGTGCCTCTTTAGAGATAAAAAGCATGGTATAGGAGGTTTAAATTGGCCTTAATTGGACAGTATCTTTAAAGACTACACTGTCAGAGCCCTGATCTCTTTCTTGGTAGGTATAAGGGAAAATGTATGGAAAATTTGCTGACCCTAGTGACTGGATGGTACCAATTACAGAAGATTTAAAAACAATAACACGAAATCTTTACTGACTAATGCATAAGAAAAAGTCTCCCTCCTTCCTTCCCTTCCCTCTTCTTTCCCTCTTTCACTCTTTCCCTCTTGTTCTTTCTACTTCACCTCCCTCCCTCATTGTAATAAACAAAGGTGTAAGCCTGGCTCAGTGGAGATTCTGCAGGGTTACTGCCCGGAGACCTAAGACTTGATAGATGTGATTTTCATCTCCAAATATTTATATACAAAAGATAAATTAACCTGCTCTGAGTGATATTCACTAAAGAATGCATATAGATTCATCAGTCAGCTACTCACCCAGCCCCAAATTGCAATTCGTTTGTCATCCACAAATCCCATTTTTGAAAATTGTCTAAAACACATGGAAAAGTCCACAATCAGTACTGCATTGTATATAGAAAACTAAGATAAGGCACAAATGTGAACTCCTGCCATTTGTTCTCTGCCTCATTCTATTAGAGACTAAGAATTGCTGCCAGCAGTCAACTAAACACCTGAGATAAATATCTATCATTTTAACCTAAGATCCAGATGAACAAGGTTTACTTTTTTGGAGTTCATAAAAATTGTGTGTGTGTGTGTGTGTGTGTGTGTGTGTGTGTGTGTGTGTATGATTCACAGAAAACAAATCCTGGCAGTTTTTTTCACAGCTTCATATGAAAATTTGCAGCCCAGATGCACTTTTCTTTACATAATTGAATTTAAATCTCTCCAGATGTTTTTCAGTTTGAGAGAGTCTGCCCCTGCAATGGAGAAAGATAAGGGCATGAAAAACTTCTGAGTAGGGCTTAGGAATGACTCTGGGCCCCCTACCTGAGAACTTAAACACCATTCTCTAAATAAATCCCTTCTTATACTGGGTGTTGATTAGTCAGCTCAGCACCATGCACTCAAAAGAAATAAATGTTTCCTTGATGGATTAAGAAATCTTTTTTGCTACTAAACTGTGTTCAGAATTGGAATCCAGGTAAAGAAATAAGAAAAATGTTTTATGCATTTATTTGTTAATCTTAGCCTGACATCAATAGAAAATATTTTTATTTTAAAATACCTGGAAAATGGAACTCAACTTTTTAGCATTGTGGGTGGTTGGGGACCTTTGCATTAACCTATCTTGACTTTGAAAGTTTTTGTGTTTTCACTTAATGATATATGTCCTAGGTTGCCCTAAGTTGAGCAATGTTAGAAAAAAATTAAAATAGTTTTCAACTCATTATCTTTTCCATGTCAACTTTTTAAAATTGAAAGAGGCAGACATACAGCAATGCGTACCAGATCATTCCTGTATAACTTGATCAACCGTTACAAAGTGAATGTATCCTTGAAATCATGGCCTGTGCATAAAATCAGAAGCCTCTAAGGCATTTGCCTCTTTGCAAAGGGACAAAAGGAAATGTTTTTCTTTTATTGGATTCTATAACAATTTCACCTGAACTTTTGCCTGGTTTTTATCTTTACATAAATTGGATCTTGTAGGAGGTACACTTTTGTGTCTGGCTTCTTTCATTCAACAGTATGTGAGATTCATCCATATTATTCTGCTTAGTTCTTTTTAGTTGCTGCAATAGTGTATTCTATTGTATAAACACACCATCCCTTATTACTTATTTAACTGGGGTTGTAGATAGTAGGTACCCAATTTTGTAATTTTAGGGCTTTTGTTGATCAGATTTGAGAGCCCCTGAAAACTATGCCCTCTCTCACAGAGAAGCGATCTGGATAGATACAAGTTTATTTTTAAAATATCAAAGCCTCACTCTTGAACAAATGTATCCCCTGTTTATTCTAAATCTCTATTTTCTAATTGTTAAGGAAAATAGCTAATCATTAACTTTAGTAAAAGAGAATTTCATTCACTCAGGAATCCTTAATAAGTTGTCATCTTCTCCTCTCTCCATCTATTTAATCATTCACGGATCCTTCTGCATTTCCTAGTCTGTGATTTCATAACATTATTTTAAACCACCCTCTCTATTATGCTTCCCAGAAACTCAGGTTGTTGGTTGTAGAAACTCAAAGTTACTTTTCCCACATACCAGTTGAATGTAATTAAATATAAGCATTGGAATGAGACTAGATTCAAATCCAGATTCACCTCGGCAAGTTACCTAACCTAATAATCTCCCTTTCTTTACTTGAAAGATGGGGTAAGAACACCCACCTCTCAGGGCTTCAGTGACAATGCCTGCAGGTAAAGCACTTCCCATGTTACATGCATCTCATGAGTAACCATTATTCATGGGTAACATCTCTTGAGCCAGATCACATCTATTTCAAGTCCCATAAGTGAAGAGGACAAGAATGAGATGTGATTCATACTTAACAGAGCCCTTATAAGTGGGACTGATGATGGTTATGCTCCACAATTTTCCCAAAATAGCAGTCACTCTCATCCAGCCTGTAGGAGCTACTCAGGACTTCACAGTTGTCACCGCCTATGATGTAAATGTACACTGAAGTCCTCTCTTTATCCTTGACTGTGAAGCAATGGGCTTGGCTTGTTTAGTCAGATGTTTACTAGGGTACATTTATCCCTCAGTTTGTCCCCAAGTCTGATGAATTTTGACTTTCTGTTCTTAGAAGGTGGTAGGACATATGCCAACTCCATTTCTAGAGTCACATACAGAGAGGAATTTAGGAAATGCTTTTTTTTTAAACTTAATATAAATCTATAATGTAGTATATTTTTTTCTACACATAACATCTTCACTAAAACCTACCATAAGGATAAAGATTACAAATTCATCCCAGAACACTTTAAATTATTTACACTTTACATCTTTAAAATGGAAATTTTAAAGGGCAATAAAATCAGATGACCTTTGACTTCATCTCCTAGTCACTCACCTGGCTGCTTCAATTTGATCTTCAACTTCAAATGTTCCCAGTCTTCTGTTGATTGCATGCATGATCTTATCTCCTTGGTAGCCACTTCCTCTGCCATCAAAGCTAGCTACTATAATGTTTTCTGTGCTTGCAAGGTAAGTGGCCCAGTTGAGTCTGAAGATAGCGTCCGCTTTTTGACTACACGGGCCTGCATACCTACGAAAAACCCCAAATTGTTAGCTTTCATGGGTTTCCTGAATCAAATGAAGAATGCCTACATTTCTCTTCCCCGTGGACAAGAAGTGTGCATCCTTCCCAATCATGAGCCTTAAACTGTGCCAGCCTCTGGAGTGTCCAGAATAGGTCCTGTAAAACTTAGCAACAAAACTACCATGGTTGTGTATTTCCTTCAAAGATACTTGTCAGTTTTGTCTTTGAAGATGGTTATTCAACACAGACTTCATAGGCCAACATTTTTAAAGAATTTTGTAAACTTGGAAATCAAAGAAATAATTTCTCTAATAGTTAAGAAAGGGAGTTGTGTTATTAAAAAAATGATAATGACAACAATAAATGCAGCTTTGGATAGCTTTCCCTCTCAGCTTACAAATACTCTTGGACTACAAGTTTATTTCCTTCTTTAAGGAATTTCACTCCTGCATTATATGCTTTGCATTTCCCATAATACCCAGCACAGTCTTGCTCAGAATGATTGTAAATCATTGTGGAATGGACAGCAGTATGAATGAATGCTAATAGTTAAAACTTCAGAGGAAGAAACAGGTTGCATTGGAAAATGGGCATGTCGTTGGGCATTCTATTTAAAACAAGTTTAATTCCCTTGTATTTGCATCTTCACAGGCTACCATCTACTCTACACAGAGCTGTATGCACAATTGCTGTAAAGCTCTATAAAGCACTCTCATTTCTGCTTGCTAATCAAGAGGAGCTCCTTATAGCTCGTTTCAATTCATTTAAATATGTCATCTTTGCACTATCTACACAACTCTTGGACATGGATAGTCTCCAATAACTTACTCCCTCCCCACCCCATCTCTCCACTCATCTGCTCACTGTCCCCAACACAGGATAGGACAAGTCCTTCTCACATGGCTTTGCTAATATTTTCCTTCTACTTAGGGATTTCATGAAAAGAACTTTAGTTTTAAACAAAATACTTTTAACATTTTAACTTTAAACAGGAAAATGCATTCACACATTTCTTGGGCAAGCACACATATTTTCCCAATATGTGAAATGCCTTGCTCCTCTCAATTATATTACATTTGGTAGATTAAGAGCTTGCCTTAATATTAAGTATATATCAAGTTCCCTAATGCCAAGATTAAACAAGATTATTTTTCAAAATAGAAAAAAAAATTCAACCTCAAAAGATAGGAAGAAGAAAATAACTGAACAGAAATATGTGTGAAATTTATCATTTTTTAAAACCTTTTCTAATGGAGATTGAATCATTACTTGTTGGGGAGTCAAAGAAGATAAAATATCACTCTTTTCTAAAGGATGCCTTTTTAGCATTGGAGCCAAAGCCTAAAACAAATTAGCATCACGAATGAATTGACTTCATTTGCTACAATTATTTTACTTGAAAAGAAATTAGATAGCACATCTGGAATTTTAAAATATCTATTATTTTCTTTCTTTGTGCTGTCATGTTTTGTTTTCATGGAACTGTGAATATAGTGGATCCAAGCTGTGTCTGATACTAATATTTGTATCCTCCTTTCCTCCCCCAACTTTTTTTTTTTTTTTGCCAGTGACAACAGAGAAATTATGTCCCTGAGCTTCAATGTCTTTTCTGTATAATGGGACAACAGAACTTACTACATGGGTTTGTTGTGTGAATAAACTAAGGCAAACTATGGTAAGCAGCTGGCATTCGGCAGGCTGCTGCACACATTGGTTTGTTTTGTTTTAAATATAGGAAATGATACAAGCCAGGACAGGAAGAGGGTGACATTATGGCATCATGGGTGACTCTCAGGCAATTTTAGAAGGATTAAGGTATGGTGTATTACTAATCATTATAAAAAGGACTTTATAAAGCTGTGGTATTTAGAATTCATATGAGTTAACATTCAATGTTCAAAGACTTGTGATTTCATAACTTTCTCAAATACTTGAAATTTTTATAATGAACACTCTCCTCTATCACTTTGCTTCACCAAAAAGGGGAATAGAAAATAGCTGGTGATAATATTTCAGGAACTAAAGGAAGAGAAACATGAGCCAACCAGTGGTAGCTGGGGTAAGAGGACTGTGAAGGCTGTTAATACCCATTTCTTGCTTGTTAAAATGTCCAGACTTAAGAATTTCTTTGGAATTCCCTTGGAGTTCAGAAAAGCAAAACAATAGAAAACCTATATGCCATTATGACAGAAAAGGAGTGTCTCTTTTCTCTATTAAGAAGATGTGAGAAAACACAGGTTGGGGTTTGTGGCTGTAAAGTGAAAGGAAGAAATAGTAAACAGTGATTCAGGAAGAGGGAATGGATGCATTTGGCTCCATTTTTCAGTAAGCTGCGCTGAGAAAAATACATATGATTCCAATAGTTCTAAATTGCTCCCTTCTCTTGAATACTTACACATCTAGTAGTAGAGGATATTTCTTGGATTTATCAAAATGGGGAGGCAAGATCATCTGATACCAAAATTCTAAATGAACAGAAAGATTAATTAGTGAGTTAAGAAAAATTATTAGCACAAGATTTTGTTCCTTATCTCTGTCAGTAGCAAGTGATTTCTAGAGTTTAACAATTTGTTAAATGAGAGTAGAAAAAGAAAATGAACTGCTTGGATTCAGCACATTTTTAAGATATAACGACATTTTCTTTCAGGTTAAAATACTAGTTAATGTTAAAACATAAAGTTGTTTCTAATGTATCTATTAAATACATTGGTGCCTAGTAAAATAAAAGTGCATCTTAGAATTTCTAATGTTTTGTTTTTATGATTCTGTTCTTTGGCATCCGATCTACTTATCTAGTTTGTTTATGGCTTATGTTCTAAGTTTTCCTCCAAAATGTTTTCCTCTTCTTGAATTTTCTTGAAGCTGTTTAGGATTTTTAGTTGGCCCCAAATCTATTTTAGAATTCTGATTTAATAACATTTTTGTAATTCTTATTGCCATCCCAGACCGCAAAGCTGAGTTCCCATTTTCAGCTCTGTGTTTCACAGAATGAGATCGGGTTTATATGGAGCAAACTGTTGCGTACATTCTGTATGATCTCCCACGGGTCTGTTTCATTCTCTGTGCTTGATTTAACATCAGTTTAATAAATTTGTGCCTAAATAATGAGCCAGTTTCCTTTACTCCCAAATAAAAGATGAGTTATACTAATAGATCTATAAAAAAAGAGTTTTTCTACATTTAAATAAGATTATTCCAGATTCAGTAGATTCTAATTGTAGGAAAAAAAAAAATCCTTATCTCTAGAGCTATTTTTTCCTGACATTTATCTTCCTTTTTGTTTATGTTTGTTACAATTATTTTACTTGAAAATAAAAGAAAGATTTGGGAGCAAAATTTATAGACAGATTTTTCTTCAATTTATATTTTGCTGACTACTGTTATGTCTTCTGATTGAATGTGCTTGTAAGAGCAAAATTTAAGTCTCTAACGTAATTTCAATAGAACACCAAACTATCAACTGACCATGATATTTTTAATGAATATGTGAAATCCATCATTTGATCTCTGCTTTGTTTGAATTGGCATTAGTTCAGTTCCACTTTTTTGGAGATGCACAGTCTTCTATTTGGGGGGTTCTTTCTATTCTCAGAGTCCTGCCTTCCCGGCTCCCTTCTCCCTGACCCACTATTCATCCGTCCTTTCTGTAGTTTGAATGTTGATAACCACCTCCCAATAAGACGTCTCCACCCCCATAGCTTCATCTGACATCCTGTATCAAGTCATCCATCTACTCATGTGGCTTCCCTGACCCTAAAACCTGCAGGGGCTCCCTGGTGTTCACAACTGACACAGAATGTCACAGCTCAGTATTCAGTGCCTTCTGTACCAGACTGTCAATGTTAGCTCTGGAACACTCTAAGCTCTTGCCACTTACATGCAGCTCAAGGGTCAGTAGCACTAGCATCACCTAGAAGCTTATTACAAATGCAGAATCCTGGACCTTTCCTGACTTGCTGGGTCAGAATGTGCATGTTAACAAGGTCCCAGGTGACTCATATGCACATTCAGTTTGAGTAGCACTGCTCTAAACTGTTCTTCATGAGGATGCTATACTTTCCTGTGCTTTTCTTGATATTTAAAATTAGATGTGTTGAAGCTTTTCTATTATCCTAAACTTTTTTAAAAGCCTAAAATGAATCAATCCTAATATAATAGATTCCTCTCTCCCCTATAGGCTGTTAGCCTTTAGTGGAAAAAATAAAGAAAAACAAACAATAAATAACAAGACTTTCTACTCAAAGAAACCCATTGTTCTTACTAGTCTTTGAATATAATCCATAATTATACAACCAGACCAGGGACCACACTATGGGATGTCAGGAGGGTTTGGAAAAATCCAAAATTTCTCTCCTGAGACTGAAGTTTTAACATTTTATAGCTAACATGAATTGTTTTATACAACTCTCTCAGGTATCCTTGCTCTCTTTGGGTTAAAGGTGAAATACATTAGGATGTCATTAAGTTAAACACACAATTAACACTAATAGAATAGAATCACTAATGGGATAAAACTGAACTAGCAATAGAGCATGTTCTCCCGGTCCCTTCCCTTTTGACAGAAGTTTTATGCAGAATGGTATTGTATTTTAAGACAAAAGGATGTAAAACTAGTGGTTCTTGTGACAAAACATTTCATGGAGAAATAACTTTCTGAATTAGATTTATATATAATATAAAATATAGATTTTCAGATCAAATTACTATATTTAGTTAGAGTGCATTGGTGTTTCCATGAAAATTACTATCCATGTAAGTTAAAGGAATTTAACTTACTCGTTTCATTCAAAATAATGAAGTCCAGCTTTTTGGAGGGCATCTGGACATTCTGCAGGATTTTATCCAAAGCTGAATTATCTTCCAGGACTCTCAGCTCTAAAGAAATACAGGAGACAGCAGTCATTCATTGCAATGTGAACAATGTGGATTATGCAGTACAATAATGAGCAAACACGAAACTCACTGATCGGACTACACATACTTCAGTTTATAAGGCTTGTGGTCTACTCATTGTCAAGACACAAAGCCAAAGAAAATCACACAATGCTAAGTACATGTTGGTGTTATTAACACATTCTTAAAAACAAATAAAGAGTAAAATATGAGAAAATACCTTTATCATTCGTGCTGCTGTGTAGAGTATAGAGGGGCAGACCAGGACCTGTTAACACAATTGGGGAAAAATGTTTTAGATGAATACTTTTTTAGAAAAGATAGTCTACATGACTTTTCAAAAATATCATTTGTTATCATTTAACTTTGATAGAACATATAAACATTATAAGGGATAAGAAGTTTAATAAATGTTAGCTGTTTCTCCTTCCCCCTTCCTTAAAATAGTTGCAATTTGAGTGTTAAGAGGTATTACTGGAAAGGCACAGGGCTCAGTAGAATAAATCGGGAAATGAAACTGTGCCCTGCTGGGCCCTTGGGCACATTATCCTCTCAGCCTAATAGACTCATCTACAAGAGAGAATGTGAGCTGTTATTATTCTCCACTCTAAAGCCGTGATCTCAGGATAACCACAGGGCTTTTCAGGTCCTGCCCAGGTGGGCTGCAGAGGCTTGGAGTCAGCCTCCCTAGGAAGGGAGGGGTTTCTCCTGCTGCCCCCACTCCCAAGGAATCCCAGAGCCAGGCAGCACATCTGCACAGTGCCTGACTTGGATAAGCGATTTCTTTCTGGCATGCAAAAGTGTTTTTCTCACAAGCCCATATCGTCACTATTTATCCCAACTGTGGTAGTTGCAGAGTGGAAGGTAATGTATAGAAAAGCTATTTTGTGAGCTCTTTAATTTTATGCATTTGGATGATAATATTAATTTTTAGACTGGATTAGAACCACAGTGAAGGTACTATACAGACCTGGGGATGAATCCTGGCTTACTGTCTGTATAACTTAGGACAACATAGCTGTGCTTTGATTTCCTCACATATAAAATGAGGATAATAATATCTGCTTGATAGAGCTTTCTTAAAGATTAAACAAGACCATGAATATAAAGCTTTTAGCACAGTGCATAGAATAGAACACATGCCCAAGGAATAATTTCTAAAAACAGTCATAGTAAAGAACCATAAAGGAAAGCATAATAATAAAATATACTAGTGAGGGAAGACTCAGATAATTGGTTTGAAAACACTATTTATTTGTGCTATGGACAGTTCTTTTCAGAATATCAAGTTCCTTTCTCCCATTTTGAGAAGTAACCTGGCACACTGTTTAAAAGGCAGGGCTCAGGAGGCAGAGGCCTGTTTTGAACCCTGTTGTGCCTGTAACTCACTGTGTGACCACCTGCGTAAGTCACTTGGCCACTCCTTGCCCAGGTTTCTTCATTTATAATAAATAATAGCAATAGCAACAGCAGAAGATGGAGCAGTGAGTATGTTGGGTGATACGCACCAGCTACATATATTTTTCTCGTTGAAAGGGATGAGTGCATAAAATAATCATTTAAAACCCCCCACTATGTATGTATTTAAGGCTGAAGTGCTTCTGTAATACACAAGGGTGTGTGATTGTGCATGAGTGTGTGTGTGTTCGGTCTAAAGCAAGCTATGCAAGTCTCTCAGTGAGAAGGGTAAGAAAAGGTTGCTGAAACTCACTACTTAAACGTGACTGAAGAGAAGGGGACTTAGGTGATTTCAAGAGCTCCTCAGATTCAAAAGGAACAGAGGGAGTTGCTTCGAAGTAACAGTGGCAACTGCCCTCCCTCCCAGGGAGCTCAGACTTACCGGAACATCTCAGCTGATAAAATTTTGCCTCTTTACTGAATGACACAGAATAGTACTGACATCTTTCTGGATTCAGTTCACAACTAAGGCATGTCACTTTTGTATAGTCACTAAGTTGAATTCTGTAAAACCAACAGTGGAAATTAAGTGCTTGATGAAAAGATAAGTGAAAGGAAAGAACTGAATAAAGCCATGTTCTAGTTGCAAAGATAGCAGAATGCCAACGCAATCTTCAGGCCTCTTTTTTTAAATTTTTTTTAACATGAAATAAATATATGAATTAATAGTAACCTCAAACCTCCCATTATTTGGAAATATCACAGAACATCGAATAAAGCTATTCTCATTTGTGGACGTGCAGATTGACTTATGAAGGAATAAAAAGTGCTCAATAGCAATACCGGTTTAGCATTAGTTAGGACAAGGCAAAAAATAAAAATAGAATTCAGAAATTGTTCTTCAGCTAAAATGACTCAAGTCAACAATTTGACAGAGCTCTTACTTATAAAGGTTCCTTCCCCCTGGTATTCCTTTATATTCATTACTAATGTAGTATCTGGGAAGAGAAAAAATGAAACATATATTAATTACGTTTTTTAAGAAGTCAGAGGCATTCTACAGCACTCAGACCCCAACCCTGAGCAAGCACCCAGCCCACGCATGGGTGCCTTCCGCCTCTGCCATCGCTTCCCCGTCCCTCACCCTGCAGAAGCCATTTTTCTCCATCATCTCTACACAGAAAGGTCTTGTTTTTAACAGACTAAAATACGTAAAACCAGGGATTTCTTCCTTAATTAGAGTGAAAAGTAAAAACTCAAAAGAAGGCTTTTGTCAGAAAAATAGGACTGGAACGGCTAGCCTGAAATTTAGACCCCACTCATTGATCCCGATTGCTGTATTTTCCATCTTATAACATAAGCTACTAGATGGCAGGAGCCCCACGTTACTGAGAGCAGCAGAGTCACTGCTGAAGAGGGTCTTCAAAAACTACTTCATGCAGTGGCAAAATTCCTCCATGATTAGACCAACGAAGAATCATTGAAATGCCTAAGATTCTAATGAAAAATAACACCCCCTTTTCTACCAACTCATATATGGCAGTTGACAGCTTCTGCAAAGCTTTCAATTTTGCAAAGAGTAAGACCGGGACATGGACAGATAAAATTGCCTTTCCAAGCCTTCCAAAAAATCAGTGCCAGCTGAAATTTAACAAAATGCCCCCGATTGCTAGTTCAGCATTCCACCACGTTCAAGTAAAAGAGGATGCAGCTCTTGTAATGTAAAGCAGGTAAGAGCAAGAGGTAGAGCTGCCTGGTGGCATGGTATCAAATCTGCTAAGCATATGTGAAAATCATTAAGGCTTCCGTATGTTAAAAAGAAAAAAAGTATTGAACACATTCCAAAAAGACTACTCTTTATTTGGAGGAGATTTTTTTCCCTGCTTCTGGGCAAAGAGGGCATGATTATGACAAGTAGGTTTATATCCTATCGATCGTTACAATACTCACAGATAATCGCTGGTTAGAGCTTCTATCCCAATGACTTCCCAGGAGCCTTTTGTAATAAATGTGCAGTCCTGATTTTTTTTTTTTAAAAGAGATTGATTAGAGACTCTATTTAAAGAGGAGGGTTAAATCATTTATATCAGGAATTCAAATAACCTTGGATTTTCTTGTGGGGTTTCCCCACCCCATTCCACGTTACACAATACACCACTGAGGAGTTTGAATTAGTCTGATTTTTTTATACACATTGATCCACTTTACCAAATGATTTCCACTTCAAGTTGGTTTCAGAAAAAAGGAGGTCAACATGAAATAATTATGTTAGGATACTCACTTTTTTATCTATTTGGAAATAGCAAATGTGTCTGTAACCTTCTTTATTGCTGATGATCTTGTAGAAACTATTACCATCAGCGGTAAAATGAGGTTCTGAAGGCCTAAACTAGAAAATCATAGAGAACAAAAGAACATTAAGGCACAGGGTCTCATCTCACTACCAACTTTAATTTTAGAAAGTCCCCCCCAATACCCGTGCTCAAAAATCCATGCTCCATTTATATGCTAAATGAAAGTAGAGTTTCTCAAAAATAAAATTCTCTTTCTATGAAATATGAACAAAAGACCATACTCATAGGTAATTTTCATAAGCAGTAAATGAGAGAATGCACATAAAGAGGTTTGTAGAAAACAATAAATAGAAGTTGTTGCTGATTTGGAGACATCTTTTCTTTATGGATGATAACTATGACTTCTGACTGCAGGCACCTGGAAAATAGCATTAACCTTTCACTTTGAAGCGGTAAATTTCCTCAATGTCACAAACGTGCTCTCTTGAAACAGACATAGTATTTTTTATTATTTAAGGTTGGAGTGGTTTGTAATTATGGGATATTTTTCTTTCCTGTTTTTACACATATTTCTTTTTGAAAGTCAGATTTAGTATTTAACCATTTCTGGACTATATGCCATAAGAAATGTCTGTTGTATATTTCACATAAAAACATTCATATAGTTATTTTTATTATAAGCCTTTTCATTTTGTTAAATATGATCAACAATTCACAAAAAATATTTATATAGAAATATAGAACAAAATTTCCATTTTTTTACAGTTCAATAAAAGATAGTACTCAGAACATAATGCAATTTAAGTAGAAGGGAGTCTATCCCAGCCTGAAAGGAATATGTTGCTTTACAATTTTGATTTCCTAGCTACATTTAAGAGCAGGTAGGAGATGGTCTTTTAAAATTGTTGGTTCACTTCACCCTCGATGTTTCCTCTCTCATCAGCTCCCATTTTGGGAAGGAAGAAAAATGCTTCCCTCTTCTATTTAGTGATTCAAAGCGAATTCATTTATGGAGCAAGCTGAGGCGTGTGGTACACTTGGTGTTCTCATTACAGAGCTTTAAAACACATTCCCCTCTCTAGACCTGTGTTCACAGCCTTATCTTTTTAATACATTTCCCTGTTTCCCCTGGATGGAGTTGTGCCTAGTAGAAATGTGTGAAAAGTGGCATCTGTCTGGTTAAATACAGAGAGGAAAAAACATATTTTTTTCAAAGAGTCGTGAGGAAGTGTAGCGTGTCTCTTGCCATGGAGGAAACCACTTTTCATGTTGGCAAACCTCTCCCCTCTGCCCAATCAATGCCTGAAGAAAAGGACGTGTGAATGCTGCCGGAGCTCCAAGCCCAGCTGGAAGGGGTTGTCTTCTTGGACTGGGAACGTCACCTCTATGACCCAAGAGATGTAAAATCTTTACATTTTGGGGGGTCACTTTTTTTCCCTCTTAAAGGGAGCTTAATGAAAATGATCATAAAAATTAAGTGAGATTCATTCCTCATCTACTATGCAAGGTGACATGATGACTGGAGTTCCTTCATCAACTCATTACATTCCATGGTCTTGTAGCAATCTGGGTAGTAATTCTGTACAATGTGTATATAAATCAGTGGGACTGAGAAGCATGACAAGTCCCTGAGGGTCACCACACTTTCCTGGATAAAGCTCTGTATCCAGACGCCTAATAAAGCATGAGCCCAAGAGTATGATTTTCTCCAAAGAGAGGTGCATAGCAGGCACTGTGTGGTTGCTGCTGAGTTTTTCTGCTGGTTGTAGTCACATCTCCTTAGGCATCTGTGCAGGCTGGACACAGAACCTGTGTTTTCTGCCTTTAAGGCACATAACTTCAAATGTGAGGTCAATAAGCACATTGGACACCTTGGCCGACTTTCAGCAATGGTTGCCCTTTAACTAGCTGGGAGCCACAACTTGCCAGGAGTACATTGTGTTTTGTTGTCTCTGCTTTTGACTTTTCACTTATCCTCTTACTTTTTCCAACTGTGTGTGTTATATATTCTCCACAAAACGATATCTCTTTAGGGAAAATTTACATATTTTGAGAAATAGGTTAACTAATATTGCTATTAATAACATATCACTTAGAGCCCTAGTTTTGAATAACTACATATCAAATAGCTGAGTAGCTGACTCACCCATAAAACCCCACAACTCATAACACTTACTCTTCCAATCCAGCCAGTAGTACTCATTTCAATGTGTTGCCGTGCCTAGAAAGGGAAAGATACAATAACAACATTTCAAAGAGAAGTAAGATGAATCTGTAGCCATAATTGTGGTAATATAAATAGAGCTATACTTATAATAATTCGAAACTATCTCCATGTATATATTTTATTTATGTTAGCATATTTAAAGTCACTACATTAGATCATTTGCCTCTCTTGCCTAAAGTTCTAGCCTGGGTCCTTTTGGAAGCTCCAGTGGTGTTTTAAATCCAGCATGTACAATACTAAAGGGAATTCCATTTGTTTTCCTCTGTCCCACCAGCCTGTTCTACTCCTTCCTTCTTCTTCTAATTAGTGGCACCTACCTGTTCACCCAAGCCAGAGATGTGGGGTCATTCTAGATTCCTGCCCTCCTCATACTCACTTCTTTCAGCCCCTGTCACCTATTTCTTTGACTTCTCTGTCCTTCTCTACTGCTAAGGACTTTGTTCATGTCCTCAGCAGGTTGCCTGGGGTCTGTTGCTAGAATCTCCTTGGAGATCCTGCTGCTCTTCTCTGTTGACCTTAATTAGCAATAGATAGGTCTGTCTCATTGTGATACCCTTTTGTTTAAAACCTTGAAACAACTCCCCATTTCTTACGAGGTAAGTCCAAACTCTCAGAATGGCACCTGAGTCTTCGTCTATATCCCCAGCCTCAGTGCTCCCCACTGTGCCTCTCCCCCAGTCCCTAGTCCTTGCATGCTCCAAGCTATTCACATTGGATGCCTTTGCACAGACCTCTGCTGATACAGCCTTTTGCCCTTATCTGCTCAGCATATGGCAACCTATTATCCCAGGCTACTCTGTAGCTCACCCATGTCATCTCCTTCTCACTCCGCCTGCCCTCAGTAACGCTGATCATCTTCTTTTGCCCTGTTTTCTCTGTACCTTGGTTGAACCCTTTTAATGGCACAACCTTGATATTATGAGGATTTCATTGGCAGCAAGCAAAGAGCTTGAGTTTTGCAGTTTAAATTCTGACTATGCCCTGTGACCTGAGCCAGCTCTTTAAATAAACATTGATCCCCAGCTCCATAGTGCCTGGTATACTATAAGTGGTAGTTTTTATTATTTATTTTGATAATATTCCAAACTAGAACAGAAACATTTTGAGGGCAGGCATACTGACTAATTCACTTTTTAGAAAAATCCATAGCTTAGCACAGAGCTTGGAACATAACAGGCATTCTATGTTTGTTGCGTAAATAAATAAGTGAATCAAGATACGTGGGACTCCAGTTCTGGGAGATGAGAATCTTCCCTGAGCCTAGCCAGGATGGGAGCAGGGAGGGGAGGTGTGTAGGCACAGGGTCCATGACTAGATAAGGGAAATTAGGGAGGTGTCTTTGGCATACACCAGCAAACCTCTTCCAGGATCCACCCCTCCTAAGCTGTGGGCTCCCAGAGGGACTTTAACTTTGACCACCATTCTGGTTGGACCTCGTGGTCTCCTGGCTAGAAGCCTCTCAGCACCTCAAGGTTGGATGAACAGGGTCAGCCTCTGGGTTGCCACCCTCTCAGATTGGCAACTATTTATTTACATGCTAAAGCTGTTTCCTGCTTAAAGACAGTGACAGTATGGAAATGGGTTTGCGGCCTCACAATATTTGTCTTGTTTAGCTTACGCTCAGCCAGTTATTCCTCATTGCCTATATATCTTTATTGAAACACACTGTTGAGCTTGCAGCTGCTGGCCCTCTTTGGTTTTTAAAATATTAACATCAGATTCTACTTGTGGGTTTCCAGTCACCTCCTCTTCCCTTCCCAAGTGATAGTATCCATAACTAAAACAGTGTGACTAGTCAGTATAGGAGAAATACAAGCATCTCAGGATGGCAGGTTATCTAGGAGTCTTATTCAAGATTTTCTTGCCTCTGGATCAGACAGATTCAGAAAGAAGAGAAACTCAAACCTCATTTCCTGATTCCCAGCCTTCACTCTCCCCAACTGCATAGACCCTCTGATCACATGTTGCCTTAAAAGAAGAACATCCTCATTCAGTCTCACCACTAAGCAGTTCCATCTTCCACTCGACTCATCATAGTCACAAATATCCATGACTGAATAGTTCTGAATCCTCCTCAGCCACTGTAAAGAAATTCTTTCTTGTGTTGCCCATGTCACATCACACAAGTAGTGATCCCTAGAAGGAAGAAAGGAAGGAAGGACAGAGAGAGAATGAATATGACTATTGCCAGACCTTGGTTCAAATAGACATTTTACTCAGTGAACAGAAATCAATATTAAAGGAAAGTAGAATTACAAATGTTAATGAAACCACTTAATATCATAATATTTTACCTTTTCTTAAAACTTAAAATGTAATTTAATTTGGAATGATAATTAAAATATATCCAACAGGAAAAGCAGCAACAATATTCTACAGTGGCTTAATATGTGTGACTCAAACCAGGAGCTCAGGATTTATCAAGTCCTCAACTTGGCCTTTGGTGGTGCCAGGGAGTCAAGGGTGATGTTTTCACATCTACTTTCTGCTGTCTTGAGGGAAGTGAAGCTGTGGACACTGGCTAAGATTTGAGTATTTCTGGTATTTTGACGTCCTTCTCCAGAAAATTCTTCCTATTAGGGTGAGACTACATCTGACCCTTTTCTCAACTTCATTTTCAAAGGGGAAAAAATTGACTCATACCTCCACAAACTTTGAAAATCAAAGAAGTATGTTCTAAAAAGACATTTCTCGAGAGTCAAAACATGAACCCTGTGAAGAAATGAAAGAACCCTGTGGTATTTTAACATAAATTTATGTAAACAGAAGTATCTCTAGCAGTGCATCCTCTCCGACACATACTTAAAAATTTTTGGCACCACCTTCTGATTTATAGTGAAATGCATGGAATTCATAGTCTACTTTTCTGCTGGCCTCCCTCACATTATTGGCTATGGATAGTTTATTTTATGTTTTTGCTCCCTCCTCCTCCCCCAGTGTGGTTTTGGATGACTGTTCACAAATCCCTGCTCTCGAGTGTCCGATCGCAGCCTTGCTCTTTTTCATCAGAAGGTTCCAAACAAGTGTGTTCGTCCCCCTCTTCCAGCCTGGTTTGGTGGCCGTATCTCCTCCCATCCCAAATGCTCTCACACAATCCACTTGCTCCCTCCTTCACAGGCTGGGCCTACCCCTTTCCTTGCTTGACTGCAAGCTCTTTCACAGGGTGTCCCCAGGGCCTAGCAGAATGCCCGGCTCAACACAAGCGCTAATTACATGTCTGTGGAATGCAGCACTGAAGAAAGGAAAGCGCTCTCCTGACCTGTGGAACCTGTCATATTGTCATACTGAAGGAACATAGCTTTGTTCCTTCCTCAGAATTCATAGCTCAATTCCAGTCTCCACTCCCTTCACAGACACCTAATCACACAACATTTACTAGGCACTCAGGGTGGGTCAGGTGCTGGATAAAGCCCTTTAAGCTGCTCATAGCTTCATCATCCCCATTTTATAGCTGGGAACACTTAATGTGTGAATGCAGCCAGCGACACCAAGCTTCCAGGCTACCCTGCTGCAAGGTGCAGTTACTGAAAGAAGACCAAATCCCTTCACCCAGAAGCAGAGCACAGCATTTCCGAAAATAGGGACGCCTTTTCATTTCAGTCCTTTTTCTTGCTTCTGAAGAACCTATATACTGCCTAACCTGGGTGGCTGGTATTCTCTTGAATACACCATGAGGCTCTCCGGTTGCTCCCTCTTTGTTCAGTCTTGCCCTTCATTCTGAAGTGGCTGCCATGCTCTAACTTCCTTAGGTCTTGGCCTAAATGTCCCCTCATCCACAATATCTTCTTGGAAACCTACTTCCCCCTGTCCCATTGTGTTCATCACAAACCGTGAGGCTGCAGGGGCTGAGCGTGCAACCGCCACTTTCCACACCCAGGAACAGACACCTCATTCTGTCTGAGCTTCTGCATCTGCCCAATGCAGGGGAGCTAAATGAGAACACGGAAAGGCAAATACACTTTACCCAAGACAGGCAGTAAATCCGTGCAAAGATAATGAAGTATGAAAAGCACGATAGAAGAGGAAGCTTTCTGAAATAGTTTTTTACACCAGAGGTTGGAAAACTTTTCCAGCTTAGGGTCAGGTAGTAAGTATTTGAAGCTTTGTGGTCCATATCTTCTCTGTCATTACTCCTCTCTGCCTTTGTAGCACAAATGCAGCCAGCAACCATAATTAAATAAATGAGTTCATTTAATGTTCCACTGTAAAGCTAAAATTTATATTTCTTTAAGTTTTCCTATATCCTGAAATATTATTACTCTTTTGATTTTTGTTCCCAACCACTTAAAAATGTAAAACCTGGGCAGATCATCTGAGTTCAGGAGTTCAAGACCAGCCCGGCCAACATGGCAAAAGCCTGCCTGTACTAAAAATACAAAAATTAGCCAGGTGTGGTAGTGCGGACTTGTAATCTTGGCTACTCAGAAGGCTGAGACAGGAGAATTACTTGCACCCAGGAGATGGAGGTTGTGGTGAGCCGAGATGGTGCCACCACACTCTAGCCTGGTCAAGAGTGAGACTCTGTCTCAAAAAAAAAAAAAGTAAAAACCATTCTTACTTGTGGACCACACAGAAATGGGCAGTGGGCTGCATTTGGTCCATAAACCCTGGTGTGCTAACCCCTGTCCTATAACATTGTATTTTTTTCAGGCCAAAATCCTTTGGACAATCTGATGAAACTGATGTACCTCTCTCTAGGTGGAAAAAGCCTCTCCACTGACATATGTACAACATCTGAAAATTCCATGGGCATCAATTAGAAATTTAGGCTCCAGAAATATTCTTCTCCTTTTTTAAAGTGTTCTGGTAGAGTGAAGGGGTAGGTGATGGGGGAAAATACTTTTGACCATAATTAGTGGATCGCTAATTATGAGCCCCAGAGCCATTCAACAGATGTTGGGTGGGGTTACCTCAGTAGAACATGCCCTCTTCAATCCCCTAGCTTCAGGCCACAAAATTTGCAGATGGCAGACTAAGAAACTAAATAGCTCTATCTGCTAAAAGTCATAAATTAAACGTCGGGTTCAGAAGTCAGCAATATACAAGCAACATTTGCCCATTTGAAAACGTTGAGTAATGGAATTTGGGAGGTCAGCCAGGAAACTCACGTGCATCAGTCATCTTCCCTGCCCATTTTCAGATCAAAGGTTTATGGTCCTGGGCCCTGCATGGCCTGGGTTACTCTCCATGACCCCAGGTGTACTCTGCACCCTGTGCATGCTCAGCAAGGCAGTTCAACCATGGTGCAGACAGGAATTTTTGAATTTTCTTATAAACATACTTCTCTTCAGTGGCAGCCCTGAGCCAAGATTATGCCAGTCTGAGATGTCAAAGAATCATAAAAAAAAAAAAAAAAAAAAAAAAAAAAAAACCTGCCAGGCACAGTGGCTCATGCTTATAATCCAAGCACTTTGAGAGGCCAAGGTGGGCAGATCTTTTGGGTTCCGGAGTTTGAGACCAGCCTGGCCAACATGGTAAAATCCTGTCTCTACTAAAAATACAAAAAATTAGTCAGGTGTGGTGGGGCACATCTGTAATCCCAGCTACCTGGGAGGTGAGATAAGAGAATCAATTGAACCCAGGAGACAAAGGTTGCAGTGAGCAGAGATTACGCCTTTGCACTCCAGCCTGGGCAACAGAGAGAGACCCCATCTCTAAATAAATAAATAAATAAATAAATAAATAAATAAGTAAATAAAGCGAGCAAGCCAATGGCTCAATTGTACTTTTTACTGAAAAGTTTAAGTACCCACTTAAAACCAGAAAAATCCAACCGGCAGGATTATCACCTATACTTTGCACGCTGCATGCTGCTTTTATGCTGCTTTTATTCTGTAAAAACAGAGAGGTCATTACTGAATAGCTTTCTTATGTAATGGTTGTGGTAGGGTAGAAGATGGACAGCCCCTGAAGGCCAGGCCTTCCTGAAAGCCTGGACAACTTATCCCAGGTTAGACATATGAGCCAGCAATCTCTTCTACCTTCTGCAGCTGTATTGGTCCAAGGACAATATGGTTGATTTTAATACTAAAATGATGGAGTAATTTCTGGATGTAAAATAATGAGTTCACACCCATGTGGAGTCTACTATGTGCCAGGAACCGTTCTAAGTGCTTGACATAAGCTCATGACCACCCGATGAGGTGAGTACTATAGTTCATGGTCTGCAGACAAAGAAACTTAACAGCAGAGGATTTAAGTAGCTTGCCTACTATCACTCCACTGGGAAGTGTTGGAGCCAGGATTCAACTCAAGCTGCTGGCTTCAGATTTCCTGTTCATACTTGTTCCGTCTATGGAAACTCCACCCATCCCTTTGGGAAATGTTGCTAGCTAGCTTCACCTTCTTCCTTCTTTTCAGCATTAAGTTCCTCACTCAAAGAATAAATCTATTCCTAGAGAGTTGTGTATAAACTAAATTTTGTAAGGCAAATTATATGTGGATGCACTGAGAGAGACTTGTTGAGAATCACACAACAGAGAATTCCCCTGGAAAGCGAGCGCCTGTCCCAGCATAATGCCTTGCAAACAGTAGGCATTTAACAAATGTCTGTTGGGTACTATTAATTCCCTTAATTTGTGTAAATGTCTCTTTTGGTACATTAAGGATACTTAAAATAAGGTATTAATTACTAACTGGAAATAATATTGGAGGGGAAAATGTACCAAGAGCAACTGCAACCATGGAATGATTAATTCAGTGAATCACCCGAGGAAGCGGGCATACTGCCAGTGCTGGCCACGGGCTCCATGCCACCCTCTGCTCCGATGGGGATGCCAACCCTTCCAGGTTCGCTGACAAATCCCTCAGGAGAGGAATGGATGGGATGAGATGAAGCAGATCTGAGGGCTGCAGCGCCCGTACACCCACACAGTCATAGCATGCAAGCCCTAATGTGCCTCTTCCAGGTGTCACCAGCTTCCAGTTTATTTATCTCCTATGTGACAATCTGAGGCAAAATGTCACAGCTTTATAGATCAGGGGTCATAACAGTTCAGAGAAGACACAGCGAGACTTTATCTATTGTGTCATTTAGGAGCAGAGAGGGCAGGGATGGGGTATGTTATGAGCTGGGTGTGATGAGCCCCGGAGCCATTCAACAGATGCTGGGTGGGGTTACCTCAATAGAACATGCCCTCTTCAATCCCCTAGCTTCAAGCCACAAAATGTACAGAGGCAGTGAAGAGATAAAATGGAGGGATTTCTATGCAAGGTCATTTTGAAGTCCACCCATGGTGCTGGAAGTGTGAACCACTATTCTATACACACAAAGTCACCTGGATAACTTACTCCTCAATTCATCCATCCACCCATCCGTCCATCCTCTGCTTATCTATACATCCACCCTCTGCGTATCTATTAATTTATTCTATAAATATTGGTTGAGCATGTGCTATGTCTCAGGCACCTGCTACACACTAGAGATATGATTGTAAGATTGGCTGCTACTGCATAGAACCTGTCTTAGTCAACAATGAATGCACTGCTCTAGATAAAAGTTAGGAGATTTATGATTCTACATTATGTGCTGTTCTCCTTCAAATTTTTGAGCTTTCCAGTTCTCATTATGAACAATAAACACAAATTAGCATCATAACAAATCTAATCAACTTTAGCACTAAATCAGTGCAGGTAGCAGGGAGGCTCACTCTGGTTCAAGTTCAGGCCTTGTTGTTGGAAACGCAGCCTGGTTGCCCTTCTCACTTGTTATTAGAGAAGCAGGGCTTCCACCTATTTCTGCTAATTCCTAATAAAATTGCAAACCAGCTTCATCCTCCTGTGGATTTCACTTGCTGCAGGCTCTGTGGCAAATGGACACGGCCTAATGGGAAAACGAATGAGGGAAACATGGGCAAAGGTAGGAGGAGGGACACTAATTCTGGCCAGGCTTCCCACTCCAGGAACTAGTAAATCACCAGGTAACAGGCTGGGCAGGTTACTAAGAGGGATAACTCACCTGGATTTAATTGGCCCTGCTGGATCTTTGCATGAGGCCAGAAAATGGTGCTTCATCATGTACTAGGGCATTTTTCCCAGAGAGCATCTAGAGTCTAATTCTAGAAAAACTGCAGCCCTACCAGTGTTAACAGAGACCAGAGCTATATTTTAATTCTCTAGAAAACACATTCCTGTGGCATTTCCAAAAAACAATATTCTTTGGTAATATACATTTCACACAAATCTCCATAGTGAGGCAGCCCCCACCATGAGTGTGACTTAAAGAACTACTGAGAACAAGGACTTAATGACGAATTCACATTAAGGCCAAAAATCCGTCCTGAGAATTGCTTGTTTCCTGAGCCCAGCACTTCGCACAGCTGTGCCTTGGAAAGGGATCTCTAAGTGGGAAAGACTTTGTCTCTTTGGGGAATAAATGAGACAGCAAGAGCAGAGCACTGAGCACAGTCCCAGCCTATAAAAAGGACTCAATACATTTTTAACTCAATTATTCAAATATTTTGGTCCAGCAGGCACAGGCCTTGGTCCCATTCCCAGCTTCCACACTAACTTGCTGTGTGACCATGAGCAAATGACTTTACCTCTCTGAGCCTCAGTTCTCTCACCTGTGTCTCACAGCAGTGTTCTGACTGTGTCCTGGAACCACTCCAGGTTCTGTTTAAGCTCTCAGGATTGCTGGGGGAAGGAGGGAGGACAAGGGCTAGACCTGCCAAAACTGAGAAGCAATCTCCTATTTGTTTTCTGGCCATGCACTTCCATGTATTATCTCACTTGAACAAAGGTTTCCAGGTCTTTAAAAAGTTTATGAACCATTAATGAGGTCTAAAGTCCCTTCCAGATGGAATCATTTTCAGAGTAGGTGCTCATGCATGGCTTATCCTCCCTACAGACAGATACTGGTGACAGACCGAAGGGCCACATCAGGCTCTGCTGGGCTTCCCCTGGGCAGCCCTGACTTTTCCATGCTGTTTTTTCCACCTTAGTGTCCTTCCTCCTCACTGTGCCCTGCTGGAAACCAACCTGCTCAATCTGCACATTCTCCAGGGGGCATGTTTTGATCCTGGGGTCATGAAAAGCCCATGTTCTCCTCCTCAGAATGCCTCCATTCTGTTGCTCATACCTCTCATAGAACCCCTGGGGGCATTTATCTGAATGTTTGCTATCATCTACTGATGATAAGCACTATAAGGGCACAGGATTTTTGTGGACATTTGCAAGTAGATACACAGGCTGCCCATCAATGATGATTAGAGAGGTGGCTGGACGTAACCAAAAGGCAGACTTTAAAACCTCTGGGTAAATTTTTATTGCATTGGATAAACTCAGAAATTTTTTTTAAAACTTAATTGATTTTCCTCCAAATGAATGGGTTATTATAGATATTTCTAACCAAAATACTAAACCCAGAGCACAGCCCACAGCCTTCCTGATGTATTTCATGCAACCCCAGAGAAAATGGGTGCTACCATACTGCTCTGAGCGTACGTTCAGGAATGTGAGGGCACCAGCTTTAATCACATAGAGGGAGACACGAAGCAGTCTCTACTAGCTTGTTCTTTCAAGTCAGAAAGTCAGGTTTTAATATAGATTCCTACTAGGTCATTTTCTTAATCTGTAGGCCTCATTTCTTACCTGTGAACAGGCACACACTGATAGTTGGAAAGACAGAGTAAAGAGTCCTAAGATAAGTATGTGACAATCCCTGTATCTGGTCCATAGTGAGTAATCAATGTATGCTAGTTGTTATTTGAAAACAGCAATAAAACCAAATAAATGACCGAAGCGAGTGAATATGGAGCTATCAGATAGCCATAAACTGTACCCAGTATGGTGGTTCTTTTACAGGAAAATAAACAAGGGGCTGAAGACGCTCCAGGGCAGAATTTCAAACCACTGACATGATTTCAGCAAGTGAAGTCTTGGAGCACAAAATGACCTTGGAGCTCCCTAACCTTAATCCACAGACTCCCTGCATTTCTCTAGGCCTTTCAAGGCTCTGTGGGACCTGACCTTGTCTCCTCCACTCTCTTCTTCACTCAAAAGGCTCCATCCAGTCACCCCAGCCTCCTTACTAGTTCCTCTAGCACCGCAAGCACATTCCCTCTGCCCCCTGTTATTGGTGTGGCTGGAGCCCTCCTGCCCTTCACGTCACTGCCACAGGTCATTTTATCCACGAGGCTTCCCTGACCTCCCCTCATCAGCCCCATCCATTTTGCTCTGCTCAGGTTATCTTCACCACATTTTTTTACTACCTGGCATTTTACACAGTTCTGTGTTTATCTGGTTATTGTCTGTTTCCCCCAGTTTGAGTGTAGGCTCCATGACACCAGGGACTGGCTGCTGTGTTCATTGTCATCCCCATAGAGTTGTGCCCAGCCTGAAGACTTGATGGTGCTCAACAAAGAGTTGCTGAAGGAAAGAATGCATGGCCTTCTGCAGGGATGACACAGTGAGAGGCTGCAATCCACTTTGCCATTCACTTTTGAAAAGTTCTCCCTAGAAAGTGCAAAACTGTTTACAAGCCAAGCATTCAGGACAAGAGTCTTACCCTATCAACATAGAAGCAGGAGCAGTGATTTGTATGGAAGTTGCATTGGTAATTGAGCTGAGAGAGTCTGTATTTACAACAAAGAACTTTACAGTTGGATTCACAGCTCCTGCCTAGGAGAAAACAATCACAGAATTGGTATTGACGAAAAAAAATGTAACATCATTGCACACATTTTAAAACTATACAAAAGTGTCTGCATTATGGCCATAAAATTATCACAATCAGACATGTTCCAACAATTTAATATAAATAAAATGAACATAAGGGAGAGTCATGAAATGCAACCTTTTCATGGTCAGGCAGAAACAGAATACGTGTATATATATATATATCTACACACACACACACACAGTATATATATAAAACTTGAAGGTCCAAAGCACTTCTGTTTAAATAAGGAATGTTTATATCTTTATAATTTATAACTTTGTGCAAGCAAGGATAAACCTCTTAAAATCAACTCTATTATTTGCAAATATACCCTGACTCCCTGAGACCCAAAGTCTTTGATGGTTGTCAGCGTGAAGAACACCTTGGGTTCTGCCAAAGACACAATCCACCAGGAAAAATCAGTTTACCTGAGCCAACGATGTTAATTAGGAAGCCATCATTTCAACTCTAAATTCAGGTTCACCATGTTGGAGCTTTACGATCAATATTATGACAAAAACCTATAAAACCTTTTTAAATATACACATAGATCTTCGATTGACAGATTAGTTAGAAATAATATGATATTTTTAGTGAGAACACTTTATGGAGTTTTTTTGTGTGTGCCAGTTTCGCTCATCAAAAAATAACATTCCACTGAAAACATATCTCCATATTTAGTCTCTGATCTTTTTTTTTCTTTTAACTTCCTCTGTCTTCCTAAAATGGCAGCTCTTCATAAAGCAAATTGAGTGAGTTGGTAAAAATAAAAATCCCCTTTTCCAAATTTCTTACAGAAAAAACAATTTACTATTAGATTTTCCTACAGACAACACTGTGGCCATTATTATTATGGTACTAGTGAGGAATCCTTGGTTCCCTTCTTCTAAACCCCCTCTTCCCTGGCTTATCCTGCTTAACAAAGCTCTTCAATTTTAGTAAACATGCAACCCTGAGGGGGAGAACAGCTTTGAAAACCAAGACATAACACTATTATTCCAAATGTAGGACAGGAAAAATTTACATTAGTGCCAAATCTATAATAGAACCACTAAAACTAGTCATGTGTCCCGTTAATTAGTAATACAATCTGATATATAACTGAGCTTTGCAACTTCATCTAGGGCACAATCCAACTTCTACAAATGAGACGAGCTTCTGATTCAATTATAGCCTCTGTTTTCCTCCATTCAAACATTTTCATTCCCCCTATCTCTTTCAAAAGCATTTTCCCCATTTTTTCTGCTTGTCATTCCTCAAAGTTTTTGGAGAAATTACAAAACCTTAAATCACACTCTTTCCTCGGATAATAAAAATACTTTAAAATTGCCAGATGCTGTTGACTTCAGCAAGAGTAATCATAGCAAGCTGTTGAAGAAAGACTGACAATATTTTCATTAGCAGGAAGGGATTAAATGAAACCATTCTCTTCCCATCAAATCATGGAACCACTGTACAAACAGGAGCACAGACCTTTGGATATGGAATCTGTACAGTCTTTGGATACTGCAGTGACTCATCAGAGTAGAAGGAGTATTCAATAAGTGGGACTTCTGTGTCGTTAAATTGGGCATATGCTAAAAAAGTGCCGTTTGGAGACCACCACAGAGCAGAGTAGGCACTGAAGACTTCCTCTGAAAAAAGACATAAATTGTTCTGTTACAAGAAGTAGCTGATAAATTGGCTTTGGCATTCAAAATATTGTTCTCATTAGCTTTAGTAATTACAGTAGAGTTCAACTAATGAACCACTTTGCATTTGCTGGGCTTCCAAAATCAGAGTAATACAAATGAATAAAAATAAAATCTTCAGGGATATATCTGGATTGTAAAAATAAGTAACCCGTTGGACCATTTTAGAATATTTTAGCATGCAATATTTAATATAAGCTCTACATTTTTTTCTTTATCTTATAATCCTCTAAATTTATGCCTCAAAACATACTAAAAGTAAATTTCACACAGGAGGCTGATTCTCCTTTCTAATTTTCAAACAGTCAACATGCCAGCATACTCTCCCCAACTGGGCTCAATTTGTACTGAGCCCGCAGGGTACTGGTGGGTGGTGTGTAGCTCCAGGCTATCAAACCAATATGGTGCCCAGAGTTTACTACTCTTGGCACAAACAAGGTGTGGGAAGGATGGATTTAGAATGGCAAGGAACTCCATTGAGACCCCCTACTGAGAAACATCTCCTTGCCCAGCCCAGAAACTGAAAACTCCCTTAGATTAATATGCTGCTCTGGTGCATATGTTGATCAGTAAGAGAAGAGGGTCAAAGAAGGAGGCAAATAAAAGACAGGATCATGCTTTCCAGTACATTGTTGGGCTTCTTCTCAATCTCTGGCAAAGATTGCTCGTCTCTGTGTTTATTATGGGGTCTACACAGGGGACATTCAATCTCTGGCTCTTAATATGTTGAAAACTCTTTCACCAACTGGGAATGGAGGAGTTAAGTAGACTGGGTGGAAACTCTTCTTTATTCCACAAGTCTCATGTAAGTGTAAATGTAAAAGCAAAAGCATAGAAACTAGAATCTTAGGGTTGGGAAATCATGAATTCTAACCAGTTTTCAGAAGCCTGATACCTCTTTACGAGTTATTTCCAAATGCTCTTTTTCAACAACAAAAATAACAGCAAAAATAATTACTGCAATAAAATGTAATAATAATTATTGTGATGAGCAGCTGGCATTCAATGAGTGCTAACTATGCACCAGACATTGATAAGCAATTGACATCTATCATCTCAGTTAATGCTCACAACAACCCATTGTATTAATAAACAAAGTGAGACAAGCTTGAAGAGGATAAGAAATTTGTCTAGGAACACATGACTAAGAATTGGTAGAATCAAAAATCAACCCAAATCTCCTTTAACTCATGCTTTTCATCTTGGTGGTATACTGCCCTTTCCTGCCTCTATTTTAGTATTTCTAGTAACAGAAAACCTACTACTGGATTAGGCAGTCTATTCTTCCTTTGACTGCCTCATATTTATATCATTGATCTATACATGCTCATGTAGCAAGTTAGAATTTACAAAACGTATCAATTTCATCTTCACAATGATCTCTGGGTGAGGATTCATGGCTCATTTCACAGAAAAGGAAACTGAGGCATGAAGAGATTGAGTGAATTGCCTGAAACAAGAACTAGAACCCAGCCCTTATGACTCCAAGTTATGGTTTCTATTATACTAAGAACTTGTTCATATACTGAGTTGACTTCTCATTCTTTGCGATTTTTACCCATTGATTCTGGTCTACAATACAGCTGCAATGACATAAAATCCACATAATCAGAGCTAGATTTTGGTTTTGAGAATAAGTAGCAGGTAGTGATCTTTGTCTTGAAATAGTGGCTATTTGGAATGCAGAACATATTTTTCTAAATGACAATGTAATAATTTCCTTCTAGGAACTGAAGATATTAGACAGCCCCAAGCTTGAGCTGTGAAGCTGTTTTTCTGCATGCGGATGACCTAGTCATGCCAAAGACTCTCTCCAGCGATTATCCACTTTAGAAAGAATGATAGTGCTAGCTGCCATCTTATCTTCCAGAACACGAGCTGTTTCTGAGCGAGGGTCACGGCTTTGGAAAGAGGCCACTCTTGTCAATGATCCTGGAGGCTGGATCGTGCTGTCCAAGTGTCACAGAATCTCTAAATAGCTAGTGTTAGTAAATTTCATTGTAAGTTTTAGTCAAGCACTTACTACTAGGACATAAAAATTTATATTTCTTTTAATGTGATTTGTTGTTGTTATGAGTCAATTAAACTTGACTTGGACTTGGTAAGAATGAAAATTGTCATAAAGAAAAACTATTTTTTTTAACTACAAAGAAGAAAAAAATAATACGATGAACTACAGATGAGTCTTTCGAATAAGTATGAGGAAGCCTTGTGAACAGTTTGGAACAGCCTCAAAATGTCTTTTATCTTGGCAAATACAGACATAAAAATTGTTTTTCTAATATTTTCTAAGTTTCTAAAATGTGTTTCTAATAGTTTCTAAAACTCTGCATCCTAAAAGGGAGAATATTCCTTTTTAACTTTTTTGGTTTTATTAGTCATTTTTTCCCAAGCCTTTCTAATTGCTTTTTCATTCCTAAAAACAGGAAATCATAGTTTGTCCAAGTTTAAATAAATACAAATTCTCTATAATATAGTCATTTTCTTCCCCTGTATCCTCCAACAAGCGGATGTTACTTTGTCACCTTCCCAATGTGATGGGACTATTTAGCTTTCCTTAGTAAATTCTGGGGTAGTTAGGCCTAGTTAGAGAAATATCTGATGTTAATCTGGAGGCTTTTATGTCCCGGTAAAGGCAGAAAACGTCTACCTCCACAGAAAAACCTTTTGTATCAATAAACCAGAGACAAGAGGAGTATTGTCAGACAATGAGGGCAGAGGAGTGCTAGGAATAGTTAAATTCTTGGTCTAGAAGACACCTGGTGCTGTGAGTTCTAAGAGAAATTTGATGACATTTTAAACAATGCAACTTATTTTAAAGCTCATTTAAATTTTACAATTTTAAAAGAAATGTTTAACTATTTTAAAACCTTGTAGATTTTCTGATTTGAAAAAGCTTCAAGGTTTCTACCTTCATAAACCCAGTCAGTTATTCCATTATATATTATATCTTCTTTCCCAGTCCATGTGATTCTGTGACTTGGTAAATTTGGTTCAATTTTAACATAAATGTCATTGTTCCAAACATATGCCTAGAAGGAAAAAAACAAGAATTGATATCAATAATAACATGTTATATTTTATCCTGGAGTTTTAGAAACATGTATCAGTTGCAAATGTAAGGCTTATCATAGTCAAATATTCAATTCAAACAGGAAGAGTCATTTACTCCCTCCCTCTCATTCTTAAATTACAAGTGCACAACCTATAATCCCAGAATAATCCTAAAAACACTAATGATATGTTAAAAATGGAAGCACACAACTACCACTATTTGAATGCTAAAGTATACGAGAAAACCTAGAAGACTGACCACTTCCACAGGATAATATATGCTTGTATATTTCTTGTATATTGGGAGAGTGAGTGGAGGAAAGGTAGTTACATTCTGGAAGAGAGAAGTTCAATGGCAGATAAACATTAGATCCATTTGTTAAGATTCTTTTGGACTTCTCATATTCTCCTAGCACTATAGAACGTAAAGATATACCCATAGTAACAGACAACACAGAACTAGCAGAAAGCAGGTGTGACTCAGAAAATATCTAAGCACAATAGATAACTAGAACTTAAGAATTTGATGTGCATTTTCCCAGTGAATAAATATTCCCTATGGGGACTTTCAGGAATTGCATTTAGTTTGATAAGCCAGTAAAATATTATCTTGGGCAATAACACTATATTCTATAGTAAAGTATTGACTTCCTAAGATGTCTGCTTTGTATCAGGGTTAGTAACTTCCGCCTACGAAAAATTTGAGCCAATATTTTTCTGACAACAGGAGAGACTCACTAACCAATTTATGACCCATTGGTGACCATGTGATCCACTGTGTGTCGTTTGGAATCCTCTCTTCTCTAATCAGCTGCCTGGAAAAAGATAAAAGGAAACATTACCAAAAAGAATAACTCACACTAGGGTTTCCTTTAAAAAAAATGACACTAGAAAAGCCTAATAGATTTTATTGGGAAGTCACTGACCTTTTTTTTAAATCATAAATGTCATATGAAGCTGTGTAGGAATGCCTCCATTGCTATGAAAGAAAACAGACATTTCAGGCTTCTGTGATTCTTGATAATTTGGCCACTCACTGTAGGAGACCAAGATGATAGATTTGGTAATATATGGTTGTATAATTCTCATATGTTATCATATCTTGTAATTTCCTCCTATAATTTTGGGATTCAAAAGTATCCTGGAGATCTTCTGGTACAAACTCTTCTAGACTTCAACTACAACCTAGCTCTGGCACCACCTCCTCCAAGGAGCTTTCCCAGGACCACAGTGCACCAAAAATGTCATTTCGTACAAACGTTATCCCTAGCATTCACCATAGTATGCTAAGATTGCCTACTTAGGAAAATGTAAATTTTCACTTTTCACCTATCTTATTGGCAAAAGATTTAAAAGATATATGATGCTATTGCTGATGGTGATGTGAAGAAATGTTTAACTTCATACACTGATGATGAAATGTAAAGTGTTATAAACTTTTTGAAAACCCCCTGGCAAGATATATTAAAATTAAAATACACATATCATCAATATTTTAACAACCATCTCAAGAAGCTAGGGATGAAAGTCAAATTTCAGTGACTGCAGAAGCATAGGGAAAGAAATACTTTTTTTAAAAGAGGAAATCAAACTAAATCCAAAGTAATCAAAATGAAGTAAAGGTAAAAGCACTGATAAAATAGAAAACACACAATAGAGAAAAATCAACAAAGCCAGAACTCAATTCATTGAAAAGGCTAGTAAAATTGCAAAAGTAGTAAAACTCATGGGTAAACCAGTACAAATGACTGGTATCAAAAAGGAAAAATGGGATATCACAACATACTGCACAGACATTAAAAGATCATAAGACACTATTATAAACATTTTTTGCCAATACATTTTAAAAATTAGAGAAAAGGAAAAAATTTCTTCAAAAATAATTTCTCAAAAATGAAACAATGCTGAATAGTCTTATATCTAATAAACAAATTGAATTCAGAAATAAGCTTTACATAGAGAAGACACCAAGGCAAAATAACTTTACCAGAAAACTCCTTGTTATTTGTTCAAATGAGTTGAGAATTTATTCCTACACAAAAATCTATACACAAATGTTTGTAGCAGCTTTATTCATAATTGTCAAAACTGGGAGGCAACTAAGATGTCATCCAACAGATGAGTGGATAAACAAACTGCAGTAGATCCATATAATGGGAACTTATTTAGTGATAAGAAGAATGAGCTATTAAGCCACAAAAAGATGGATAAATCTCAAATACATATTGCTAAGTGAAATAAGCCAATGTGGTCAGGTTACATACTGTATGATTCCAACAATAGGACTTCTAGAAACGGTAAAACTACGGAGACAGTAAAGAGATTGGTGGTTGCTTGGAGTCTGAGGGAAGGAAGGATGAAGAGCTGAATCACAGGGGATTTTTAGCACAGTCAAAGTAATCTGTGTAATACTATAATGGTGATACATGTTATTATACGTTTCTCAAGAGCCATAGATTTGTCAGAATTCACCACTATAATGGTAGATGCATGCCATATATTTGCCAAAACCCACAAAGAGTCAACCCTAATGTAAACTATGGACTTGAATTAATAATGATGTATTAATATTAGCTCATCAGTTATAACAAATGGACCACACTAATGCAAGACATTAATAATAGGGGAAAGTGGAGGAGGGAAGACAAGGGAGTATATGGGAACTCTCTGTTTATTTTCTATTAACCTAAAGCTGTTCTGAAAAATAAAGTTATATTGATTAAAAAAAAAAATGAATCAGAGCTAACCAGATGACTTGGAAGGAGTTTCACATGGTATCGAGTGAGAAATGCAATTTATAAAAAATATAGAATTTTATTTTTATAGACCAAGTAATAACTAAAAACATCCCTATATATTTTCATAGAGTTATATGAACAAGAAGAAAAATATAAAAATATGGAGAGATATACATTAGACTTTAGAGAGCCAAGTGAAAAAGGGAAAAAATAAGACTGAAGATAAAAATGTGTATGATCACATATTTGCATTTATGAAAAATTATGTCTGAATATAGATGCATATATAAGTTTAAGATATTTTCAAAGAAGTTACTTGTCTATATGTCTGCCTTCTTTACCATACTCCTAGAGGTAAGAAATTGTATCTTATTTATCTTTGGATGCCTGGAGTCTATTCTAGCGCAAGCCACATAGTGAGTGTTCAAGAAATACACCAAATTACAGTAAAATTCAAATGGTACCAATGAGGATGAGATGGATTAAACAGGTATTCCAAGGATATCCAGGTATATAATAGTAGAACTGAGACACGAAGTCAGAGTTCCTAACCTTAACTACTTAGCACTTCTCACCCTCCTATGCACTCATGTCAACAAATATTTGTTAAGTTCTGCTTTTCACAAGTCATACATTCCTTTCCTGAATCCTGAATTATTTTGACACGCCTCATGCTTGTTTCTGGGCAACCTCAAGCAAAATATTCACTAAAGCCAAAAGGTGTGGTACAAGCTAAAAATATTAAGATGGACTGAGATCAGCATGACAAACTATCACGGATTGTAAAAGAAAGCCCGTGATGTTCAGTATCTTTTGAAACTGATTCATTATTCTATTTAGTCTATAACCACTGGTAGGTATCATTTATCAGATATCACTGGATAACACAGGGCCCCTCCCATGGAGGAGCTATAGTGGAATGGAGGATATGAAATAGTAAACTACAATAAAAGAATCATAATTGGTTGTGCCTAGGATATGATGGAGGTGGATGGGAGAGACAGGAATCATAAATTAGGCCTTGGGGAGGCAGAGAGGATTATGGAAAAGATGATTCTTTGGTTGAGGTTAGTGATAGAGGGTGACAGAGAAAGAGTAAAAGAGCATCGTAGCAAAGAGAAGCTGAATGCAAAGATAGAAAAGATCACATTTAAGAGCACAAGCTTTGGAGTCTTCTTACTTGGATTCAGCGTTTCACTGTGTAATATGAAGCAAGTTTCTTTCTAAGCTTCAATTTTCCTTTTTGACAAATGAGAATAATGCCAGCAACAATCTCAGATGTAAGAGAATGCATGGGAAGCACTTAGCAGGGTTCTGGAACATTGTCGACATGGAATCAATGACACAACTATCTCCAGCGCACTAGGCAATGAGCAGAGATGTTAAGAGAACATTCATAACAGACTGTGGGGATACTTATTCACTCGTTCACTCACTCACTCATTTATTTATTTGTAGCCAAAACCTAGAAGTGATAATTAGTCATTCTAGATGCACTAACTCAGTCATGGAGAAGTCATGTAGCAGAATCTAAAAATCAGTGAAAGGTAGACCTCCAAGGAAATGTGATCAAATTAGACTTTCCTTTCTTCTAGATATGTTTCTTAAGAGCCAGTCAAAATATATATGCTGTACAGAAAATTCTATTGGACACTCTTGGAAGTAAAAAATAGAAATAAAAAAGTTGAAGATATAGATCCCCACTTTCAATAGCAATAAAATTTAGTACTTTGCAATAAAACATGTATTCATTTAACAGTGATGGTTAGCATGTGCTATGTGACCCTGTCCTAGGCACAGAGATGTGGCAGTGACTAAATCGCAGGGAAACTAGCACCAAATACGGCAGGCAACAAACAAGCAAAGAAATCAATGACAAAATATCACAAAATGTTGTGATTAAACTATAATGGGTTAACATGACAGAGACAGATTTGTGGGGTGTGGGTGGAAGCATGCGGCAGAGGGCAATGCTAAGTGACCCAACAAATCTGGACCTGAGTTAAATAGAGAGAACCATATGATGATGGGGAAGCTTCCATGAGGAAGGAATAGCCAGTACTTTGGCCCTTAGATGGGAACGAGGGTGATGCTTGAGAAAAAGAAAGTGCTGTGTACTTAGGGGTTCTCAACTCAGCATCATGGAATCTCCAGGAGGCCCACAGCTATGCTGAGTTAGTTAGTTGCTTTGGGACAGGCCACAGATATCTGTGTTTTTTTCAAAAGCTCCTCAATTAATCCTAAGGTGCAGGTGAGGTGAGAAGCACTGGCCAAGCATGCTGAGTGCAGGAGAAGCAGGTAGGAGATGTGTTCAGCTGGGCAGACTAGGCTCCAATCACATAAGCCTCAGGATGCCAGGGTTAGAGCTGGCATTTTATTTCGAGTGTGATGGGATGCCACTGGAGGTAGCATAGGTTTGGCATAAACTAATTTAGAATTTAAAAGTAGTATGCCAGGCACGGTGGCTCATGACTGTAATCCTAGTACTTTGGGAGGCCGAGATGGATGGATCATGAGGTCAGGAGTTCAAGACCAACCTGACCAACATGGTGAAACCCCATCTGTACTAAAAATACAAAAATTAGCTGAGGGTGGTGGTAGATGCGTATAATCCCAGCTACTCGGAGGATGAGGCCGTAGAATCGCTTGAACACAGGAGACAGAGGTTGTGGTGAGCCGAGACCCACAATTGCACTCCAGCCCGTGCAACTGAGTGAGACTCCATCTCAAAAAAAAAAAAAAAAAAGTAGTACTTTGGATACTGTCTGAAGCATGGATGGCAGGGGGAAGGTGACAGTGAAAAAAGCAAAAGTAGTTAAATATACAGGTAAACTCCAGTGATGCAACAAATACAAATCTCCAACTAAGGACCACCAGTGGAATACACGTGTTAGTGCACATCAAATGACATTTGTTTAACCTGGCTATATAGTAAGGTGAGCTGGTATTACCTTTGTGTTTCTACCTTACCTTCATGTGTTAGTCCTTAACATGGACAACTGTTATTCAGCGGTTCTCAACCCTGCTTGCCATTACAATCACCTATGGCAGTTAAAAATATACTGATGCTTGCCAGGCACCGTGGCTCATGGCTGTAATCCTAGCACTTGGGGAAACTGAGGTTGAAGGATCATTTGAGGCCAAGAGTTTGAGACCAGCCTGAAAAACATAGCAAAACCCTATCTCTAAAAAAAAAATTGAAAATTAGCAAGGCAAAGTCGTGCAAACCTGTAGTCTCAGCTACTCAGGAGGCTGAGGTAGGAGGATTACTCAAGCCCAAAAGATTGAGGCTGCTGTGAGCCACGATCAGATCACTGCACCCCAGCCTGAGTGACAGAGTAAGACCTTGTCTCAAAAAAAGGAAAAAAAAATTACTGATTCTGGCATTACCCCAGAAACGTCCATTTACTTATCTGGGGATTGTACCTGGACACTGGGTATTTTTAAAAGTTTCTCAAGTAAATCAAGTAAATGTATTCCATAGATAGCAATAAGAAACAATTAAACAACACATTAACTGGAAACAGATGCATTCAAGTTGGTACAGGATTCTGATTCGTTTACGGTTAAGTTTAGCAGAGCATAGAGTCTTCATGTCCAGGAAAAGGAGCCCAGCCCAGAAAATTCAGAGTAAATATTATGATTGAGAGTCACCATCCTGAGATGGTCAGTGCAGTAAGCGAATGGTTTGCTTGGCCTGAGTACAGCAGTGTTGGTATGTGTGTTGGTGTGTCCTCAATATTATTTGTCTCACCAAAAAAAAACAAGATTAGGGGTGGGAATCCTACCTTTGTATTTTGCTTGCAATACAGGGTATCTCTACAAGTTTTTAATCTTCCCTACGCGTCTCAAAATTTCCTATACTTGAACAACTGTTGTCAAATCCATGAGTAACCAAAAACTGCAGTTAAAGCTAGGGTGATCCACATCCATCCTAAACATGAAGAGGGTGTGTGATGAAACTGTAACCTTTCCTGAATGTGTGAGGATTTGGAGTTGGGCTGGGTGACTGGGGGAAGCTGAGTGCTCTCGGTGAATTCTTTATGATCGGTGGTGAGGTTCTCCTCCTTAGAATACTTTGTATATGGTGGGGCCTGAAGGTTGGGAGGTGGTCTGGGCCATCTTGCAGAACCTGCTCTGGAGGATGGAAAGTTTAACTATTTTCTTTCCTTCCTTCCTTCCTTCCTTCCTTCCTTCCTTCCTTCCTTCCTTCCTTCCTTCCTTCC